CGCCGAGCCAACCAAAGAGATTCTTAAAGGACAATTTATGTTCTTAAATCTTTTGAACAAAGAAAGGCTGAATGTTAATGAATGAACATCCAATTTAAGAAGTTCGAAAAAGAGAGAACAGTGCGGGTAAGAGCAAAAAATAAAGAGAAAATGAAGGTACATCAGAGAGGATCAACAAGGTAAAAAGTTGGTTCTTTGGAAAGGCTAATAAAATTTGCAAACCTCTGGGATTACTGATCAAAGGAAAATCTGAAACACACGCTATTATGACTTGAAAACAAGTATAGAACCAAAGGAATCTAAAATCTGACTACCCCAAAGGCCCCATCCCTGACCCCTACAGATTCCCATGCAATGGATCCTTTAACTTCCTACAAACTGACACGACAAACTGTCAATTTGTCATTCTCCAAAGCCAACAAAGCCATCACCCCAAAACCCCTGAGCGATTATCCACGCCATAAAACCTCATTCACTCACTTTAGCACTGCGCACCAAAAAGACTTAAACAGTTTCTAAGGAACACTTCCTCCTGACACTGCACCCTGTAAAGCTGGGGGTTTTGGATGAGATCATTAGGGCTGAGAGATTGTAGTGTACTCACACTGAACCAGGCGCTGTTACATATCGGGAGAGAATTTGTCCCTGAGTGGCGTGGTCAAGCAAGGAACATGGCGGCGCTGAGACGTTTCCCCATGAGGGCTGCCATCTTAGCACCCATTCCGTACAGTGGGCTGTTCCACAGAAGGCGGAGGAGGGGGGTGTCAGGGATAGAAACATTCTGAGCAAGCTTCTGGAGGAGCTGGTCTTTGGAACTGGGTTCTATAGGTCTGTAAGAAATTCAGATAAGCAGGGATATGTCTCGCCATCATGGTATGTCCTGATGTATAAAGGAGACATCACCGCTCAAGAGAGGAAAGTAGTCAAAGTGTTACAATCCCCTTCTTGGCGATACCACTGGAAAGAGGGGGCGAAGTCAGTTTAATAAGGTCTCCTCCTGGGCGATACCACTAGAGAAGGGGGGGGTCAGGGTGACGGGGGATGTGTTGAAATCGCCGTGGAGGGGCCTTGAATCCTCCTCAGTCTCCGTCTCCCTAATTACTCCCTAGGACTAATGATAATAATAGTCTTTGACATGGACAACCAATCTTGTTTATTAAATTGTCAAGAGAAAAATGTTTAGAAAACATTTTAAGCATAAATTTAGGCCGGGCTCAGTGGCTCACACCTGTAATCCTACCACTCTGGGAGGCTGAGGCAGGAAGATCCCTTGAGCTCAGGAGTTCCAGAGCAGCCTAAGCAAGAACCAGACCCTTTCTCTACTAAAAATAGAAAACTTAGCTGGGCGTTTGTGACAAGCTCCTGTAGTCCCAGCTACTCTGGAGGCTGAAGCAGGAGAATCACTTGAGTCCAGGAGTTTGAGTTGATAGAGAAAGTATACTTTTGATGAAAATGCATGAAGATTGTTTCCGACTCCTGCTGGCAACCAGGTTGCAGCTGCTTAGTCTCTTTTATATGGAAATTCAGGAATTGTTACTGACTCTTGGGAGAACAGAGAGGATTATGAATATTCTTTACCTGTGAACCCATTCTTTAAAAACCTTGTCCAAGTATATCCACCTCTAGGAAGCTTCTCCGACAAGA